GGGGGGGGGGGGGGGGCGGGCAGTTGGTCCAAAGAGGCCTAATCAATAGGAGCTGCATCTCATTTGGGATTTTTAAAATCCCAAAGGACTGAGACCTACGAGATGGTAGGAGTAGGAGGGAGGGAGTGTAAGAGGTAAGAATTCAAAGAAGGAGATATTGGCCATTCACGTAACTGAGAACAGTTGCTTTTAGCCTGTGCTGTGGGTTGTTGGGGTAGGGAAGGCTCCTAGGAGGAGCTCCTTGGAAAGTGGCCGGACAGCAGGAGAGGCAGGTAGAGACCAGACCATTGTAGTGACCTCAGGGGACGTAGGGTCATTGTCGGACTGTAAGGTGGGGGTTACATGCTCCCATTGGCCTTTCTACACTAACTCTCCAGCTGCAATGGGGATAAAACGCACAATTCAGGGAGGTGGGTTTGTGGGTCTCATCCTGGGAGGAGAAGGTGGTGGCCAGATCCAGGTTAGTTTGGGTGGAAACTGGGGTGTGTGAGGTGGGGCTAAAGGTGGTCTCACCCGCTGGGCTCAGCTCGGGAATGTCCATCCCAGTCCTAAGGGAGCCTGGGTGTGGACCGCAGGGGATGCTGTGCGCCTGTCCCTGAGGGTCTGTGGGGGGACTCTCAGCTGGGAATCCAGGCCCTGGAGCCCTGCCTTGTGCCCTCTGCTCTGTGCTCACTGGTCTAGCCACTGTGACCACCCAGGGCCCAGGAGAGTCTCCCCAGCCCCACCCCGTGCTCAGGTCTCACCCAATTTTGGCCCAGTGTCCCCAGGGGAGGGGTCATTTGCATGGAGGGGTCCTCTACTCTCCCATGAGGGACAAGGTAAGAGAGATTCTGTACAGGTCCCCTGTGGGCTCAGAAGGAGAGCTGGGGTGTCTCCACCATGGCCTGGACCCTTCTCCTCGGCCTCCTCGCTCACTGCACAGGTGAGAGGCGGTGGAAGGCGGGAGAAGGGATTCGGGGACACCTGGGCCGCGTTATTCCTTCTTGTGGAGAACATGCTGTGGACAAGGGCCCAGACTCACTTCTCTGTGTGTCCCCTCCTTTGTTCCAGGGTCCTGGGCGCAGTCCGGGCTGACGCAGGAAGGCTCCATGTCAGGTTCTGTGGGACAGCAGGTCACCCTCTCCTGCACCGGAAATGGCAACAATGTTGGAGCTAATATCATGAACTGGTACCAACAGATTTCTCACGGGGCCCCCAAAATGGCGATGCTTGCAGGTTCTCTGCCCTCAGGAATCCCAGACCTGTGCTCTGGCTCCACGTCTGTCAACACGGCCTCTCTGACCATCTCGGGGCTCCAGCCTGAGGACAAGGCTGATTATTACTGTTCAACGTGGGATGACAGCATCAGTGGTAACACAGCGCATCTGACCCACCGGGAACTGAGACAAAAACCCACCCCCTCTCCCCATGATCACCCCCGTGACTGCCTGTGACAAATAAGGAGGGTGACCGTGGCCCACCTTACAGCATGAGGGTCTGACTGTCCAGCACCCACCCACTTTAAAGGGTCAGTGACACAGGCTCCGTCTCATACTGTTTTCATCATAGTTTCATTGAGATATACTGCGCATGCCAACAGGTTCACTGGTTTAATGTGCACAGTGCAAGGGTGTTTAGCATATTCACAGAGTTGTGTAGCTATCACTATATTCTATATTCTTTTTTTTGGCCTTGCAGTGCGGCATGCAGGATCTCAGTTCCCAAAGCAGGGACTGAACCCGGGCCCCCTGCAGTGGAAGCTCGGAGTCCTAACCACTGGACCACCAAGGAAGTTCCGGATCACCATATTCTAATTGTAGAACCTGCCCACATTCCTCAGAGAACGTCCCCATCCATTCGTGATCACACCTCATCACACCTCTGCTCAGTCCTAGGGAACCACTGCTCCATTTTCTGTCTTTACAGATTTGCCTATTCTGGACATTTCACATAGATGGAACCAGAAAATAGGTGTCCTTTGTGACTGTCTTAGTTCAGTTAATTCTTTTGCATGACATTTTAACGTTCCATCCGTGTAGGTCAATATCCACTTTTTATTGCCAAATAATACTCCATTGTATGAGCTGACCACTGTTTGTTTACCCTTCAGGGACATTTGAGTTGTTTTTTTTTTCTTCTCTTGGCTATTATGCAAAATGCTGCCAGAAATATTTGTGTACAAGTAGTTAGGTGTTTTGTTTTTGGCGGAAGTATGTTTTCACTTCTCTTGGGTAGATACCTAGGAGTGGCATAGCTGAGTCCTATGGTAACTATGCGAACAGTACATTTTGAGATTTGAGGAACAGTCAGATGTTTTCCAACACGGCTGCCCTGGTTCACATCTCTACCAGCAATGTATGTGGGTTCCAATTCTCCCCGTCTTCACCAGCAACTGTTATTATCTCTCACTTTATTTTATAGCCCTTCTAGTCTGGGTGAAGCAATATGTCATTGTAGTTTGCATTCCCCTAATGACCCCTGATGCTGAGTCCCTTTTCATGCTCTGTAGGAGGCTCTGAGGCCCTCCCCATGGATCACTGACCTTAAGAACCTTTAAAATGAGTCAGTGCTGAAATCACACACTCAGCTTGTTCCCCTGGACTCAGCAGAAAGCCCTTGTTCAGGGACAGAATCGCTCTCAGAGACCAGGGAATGGGTGGCATGAGGCCCCCTCCCATGTGAGGACCACTAGGCAGGAGTGTTCTGGGATCTGCCTGGGGGGCACTGCAACTTCAGGCTCACACCTTCCACGGGGCTGTTCTGGAGCCTCCCCTCTGAGCACGACTCTCCCCGTCACCACTTCAGGAAAACACCAGCCCAGCAGGCGACTCCCTGATGCCTCAGCAGAGGCCCCTCCCCTGGGAACCAGGACTTGGATGCAGCTTGGATGCCCCTCACCTCCCCCACTCAGTCCACACGGACTCCGACAACCTCCTGACAAAGAAAACGTACAGACATCCCAGGAAAGATGAACATTCCATACAGGGGATAAAACAAGACTTGCATACATGTAGAAACAGATCCATTGATGCTCAGGATGGATTGCAATGAAAAAATCTGAAAATTATGCTTATTTAGCTTATCAATAGTTTCTATTTATTTTTTAAAATACCTGTCCGAATTTTGGAGAAATGAGACCCTTTTTCTAACATTTGTGTGAAAAAATTTAAATCCAGGAATAGCCTAGGACATTTTACAAATGAACAAAAATGAAGAGAGATATACATGACTAGATAGTGACACATATTTGCAGCAAAAATAATTTAAAGATTGTGAGGCTACTATAGAAACCACACACAACAAACAGACAAACAAAAATCAGTGTACACTGTGTGGGAATCCCAGGAACTGGGAACAACCCTGGATGTGTGAAAGGAGACAGGGACCAGGTGAGCTGCAGAACCTGCTGAGCCCCCAGGTCCTCAGGTCACAGTGAAGTTGTGCTCTGTGACCCGCAGGGGGCGCCATGGGACTGCGCTGGGGTCCCTGCACGGCTGCTCAGGGAGAACCTTTCGCTTCAGGAGCTGGGCCTGGGGGCGGGGCCTGTGCTCCCTGGTGGGGACTCAGCAGTGTGTCCTCTCTGGCTGGCAGAGGCCCCTGAGCAGGAACCTGCGTGGTCTCAGCAGGTGCTTCCTCCCAGGGGGTCCCAAGGGGGAAGCCGCCCCTCTATCCCCCTGAGTCTGGGCTGTGAACTGAGCTCAAGCACCAGGGCTCAGGGAGGGGCTGGGTGGGCCCTGGGTGGACACCCATTTGCACAGGAGCCCCTCCTCTGGCAGAGGCTCGGGGAGAAAAGGAGGCCTGGGGCAGTCCAGCCCCACTGTGGGGACCAGGGGGCTGTGAGCACCATGGCCTGGACTCCTCTCCTGCTCGTGTTCCTCTCTCACTGCACAGGGAGGGCCAGGCCGTGGGGACCAGGTCTCAGTCTCCAGCCTGCATCAGACCGTGTGGCTCAGACTCCTGGAATCTTTCCTCCAGCTCCTGCCCCATCTCCCCGCTGTGTCTGTGTCTGCAGGTTCCGTCTCCCAGCCTGTGCTGACTCAGCCTCCCTCCCTCTCTGCATCTCTGGGAGCATCAGCCAGACTCACCTGCACCCTGAGCAGTGGGTACATTGTTGGTGGCTACCACATATCTGGTACCAGCAGAAGCCAGGGAGCTCTCCCCAGTACCTCCTGAGGTTCAAGTCAGACTCTGATAAGCACCAGGGCTCCGGGGGCCCCAGCCACTTCTCTGGATCCAAAGATGCCTCGGCCAATGCAGGGCTTCTGCTCATCGAGGAAGTGAGACAAAAACCCCTGGGCCCACAGACCTGGGCTCTGAGCCTCTTTTCAGTGAGAAGCTTCTGTGGAGGGATCTGCAAGGGAGGCTTCTCTGCACTGAGATCTCTGTGAATGGAGAGAGGAGAAACACAAGGTCGTGCCTGTGACCCGAGACAGCGCAGGTGTCCCAGGAACCCGCACAGGTGAGGACAGAGCCCACCTGCCCCTCCCTCAGCGTCTGGAGTAAATTCACCAGAGTAGGTGCTGTGTCTGGACCCAGAAATGCTCCCAGCACAGCCACGTCCCTCCTCATTTTCTTCATCTCATCCCACAAATTGTGAGTCCCAGGCTGTACAGATGTCCCCACAGCTCAAATATTGACATGAGCTCTGCTTTCTGCTCCCTCCTCCCCCCTCAACCTCTTTACTGTGCTGTAAACAGGGCTGCATTTTCCTAAAACTCAGGGGTCATCCAGCCTCTGAGTAGTTGCGCGGGGAAGCTATGGATTATTTCTTCCTTCAGAATTAACTGAGACCTCACATGAGGTGAGTCCTGAGGATTTAGCAGAGCAAGCCCTGGCTCCATCTCTCAAGACGGGCTGTGTTTTCTTCTGCCCCAGGTGATGTTTCCATGAATTCTCCGAAAGCACCTCAATTGCAGAAACATTTTCCTCAGGTCCCTGAAGTCCGAATCCTCCTCTTTTCCGAAATCAAACTAGACAATCTCCCCTGGTCCCCCAGCTGCAGACACCTGGACCCAGCAGGGCCCGCGAGCCTTGGCTCTGGTGAGGGCGCAGGAAGATGGGGCTGTGGCCCCCCTGCCCTGTGCTTCCTGGGCCTGCAGACCCGCAGCTGTGGTGTCAGGGCCCCATCCTTCCCAGTCCTGCAGGGAGGACAGGGGACAGGCGTCTACACTCCATGTGACCCGGGGTTCTGTTCTGTGGAGTTGCTAACAGAAGTGTCACCCTGATTCCTCCTTCCATCTGAAGGAGATCCTGCTCCAGGGATGTGGCTTCCTGCCCATGTGGCTTCCTTCCTCAGCCCCAGCCCCGGAGCCTGGAGGCTCGTACAGAGAAGCCACCCCAGGGATGGGTTTGCTTGGAGACGCAACCTCAGGGGTGGAGAAGCCACAAGAGGGACAGGGGCCACTGGGGCTCAGGGTGGACTTTGAGGGAATGGCTTCCTGAGGACACACGGGCACAGCCTCTGTCACACACACACACACACACACACACACACACACACACTGTCCTGGATTCTGCAGGCTCCAGGCTTCTCTGTCTCTCCAGGAATCAGGGGTCAATCTGTGCTCACCCAGCCTTCCTTAGAGTCAGGCTCCCCAGGAGGCAGGATGTCCCTCCACAGAGAACACCAGTGACAGAACCGGGTCCTGGGTCAGGAATGGCCAGGATGCCCGACCCCCTTCTCTGCTGGGATGAGTCTGACCCTCAGGATCCCAGGGCGAGTCTCTGTTCCCTGTTGGCCACTCACCCCCTGGACAGTCTCTGGGGTCCAGACGGTGCCTGAGGCTGATCGGGACAATTATTCTGGGATGGCGGCCTCAGAGCTGTGCTTCAGGCCCATGGGGACATGAGGCACTACCCCCGCACCCTGTGCTGTCCAGCCCGGACACTCACTCAGTCACCACCCCTGACACTCCCACCCAGGCGGGACCTCTGCTCACAAGGCTCCTGTCCCAGCCCAGAGTCACAGGGCCTGTCACCTCAGGGACATTGTCCACATTGTCTCCACTCCCCACGACTCAGACCTGGGACATCTGACAGAAATTCCTGGGTCCAGTGGGAGTGGGAAATAGAAATCAGTTCCTCTAGTGATTGGGTGTTTGGAGGAGGGAGTTCTGTCTCCCTCCTGACAGAGCTGGCCACAGGGAGCAGGTGTCACAGATAAGAACAAACACAGTTCCATGCTGGATCTGGTCCTTTAGCTCCAAGGTCTGTGCTCTGCGGCCTGAGCTTAGACAGGCTGGCTCTGCATCTTGAAAAGGAATGCCACCTGCAGCCTAAAATATGCAGAATAGATCTTTGTCAGGGCTCTGCCTCCCAGGCTTGACATGCGAGGTCAAGGTCTAACACTCTTCATTCATATAGATACAGAAAGGTGCAGAACCAAGAATAACCTTTGTCTTGTTGGAGGTTTCCACGAACATCCTGACCGGACCTGCGTGGACAGCTGCACAAAGGGTCATCGCATCGCCTCCGGGGTCTGGTCTCCACCAAGAAGTTTGCAACAAGCAGCCACACCCTCTCCCCTTTCAGTTTAAAAGAAGCCTGAATTTTAACTCGGGTAAATGTCTTTGGGACACTAGACCTCCATCTCCTCTGTCTGCTGGCTTTCCAAGTAAAGTCATTATTCCTGGTCCTAAGACCTTGTCTCCCATTCATTGGCCTGTCCTGGGGTGAGCAGTATGAGTTTGACTGGGCACCAGTGCAAACAAAATCACCGGGTGCCCAGCTACGAACTATCCCTTGCCTGGTTGGTAGGATGACAGGGAAGTGGACATCCAGCACCTGTGACTGGGAGGCCTGCTGGTCCTCCAACCGCTCCCTGCAGGCCTCCTGCCCCTGGTCCAGAGTCTCTGATCTGTCCCTGATCCTGAAGGCTTAAGTGAGCTGAGCTACTCTCTTTCTCTTGAGCTCTTGAGAAGCTCCTGATCTCCAGGCCCAGGAGACCCTCCTCAGTAAGGACATGGCCTTCAGACCCTTCGCTTGCTACTTTCTCCAGTTTAACCCCATGACTTCAAATGCCATTCCCACTCTGTTGGGGATGATATTGGATAAATACCAGTTGTCCTGGCCTTGGACCTTATAAATCCAAACCACCATTAAATCCATGAAGCTCTTAACAAAAATCATTGATCAGGGACTTCTCTGGTGGTCCAGTGGTTAAGAATACACCTTCCAATGCCAGGGACACAAGTTCAATCCCTAGTTGGGGAACTAAGATCCCACATGCTGCGGGGCAACCAAGCCCGCGCACCGCAACTACTGAGCAGGTGGGCCACAACCAGAGGGCCGTGCGCTACAACTAAGACCTGATGCAGCCAAAAATAATAGAAATAAATGAATAAACATTAAAAAAAAATCATTGATCAGAGGATGACGCAGATTAGGGAGCGGGTTGTGAGGGTTCCTTAGGTCAGAAATGCAGGAAGAACTTCTTAAAAAGCGTGAGAGTTGCATTTACAATAATATTCTTTTTATGTCAACCTCTTATTGACAGAAATTGTAAATAAATGTCTATAAATTGGAAATGTATACATTTAGTACATTACAGAGTCAAAAGAAATTAAGTACTGCCAGAATAACATTCACAGGCCAAAGAGAACCCACAGATGTAATAAAGAACAATAGACATTGTTCCCCTAACATTTTGATATTCTCTGGGCAAAGACATAAATAAAAGTCCAAGAATGTACAATGGGGACTGGGTGACCAAAACAGGGAATGTATAACAACAACAAATAAACAAACATGCAATTGTGACCCACGTAGATTTCCTACCAGGTAGCTCCAGGCCTGCGGGAACTGAGACCAGGACTCCTTCCTCATCTGCGGGAGGTGGGGCCACCAGCAGATCCCTGCTCAGGCTCTGGCTGGAGCTTCTGCTGCTGCTTCTGCTGCCGCCCTGGGTCCAGGTTCATCCCTGGGGGCCTGCCGGGGTGTGGAGGCTCCTCTTTCCCCTCTGTCCTCAAGGTCCCTTCAGCAGCCCATTCCTAGGAGGGGTCTCAAAGGAAACAGAAAGGCCATGTACCCATCGCTGGGAATGCAGCGTTCTTTGCCCTGAAGCTCAGGGGCTGAGGTGGGGGTCGGTGGAGGTCATCTCAGACCTGAACTCTGACTCGGGAACCCTGAGCCTCCATCATTGGGGTCATCTGCCAATTCCCAGGAGTTTCTAGAGCTATGACCCCCTCTCATCAGCCCTCAGGATGAACGCCTGTGCTTTGCTCACAGGGGAGATTTCTTCGGACACTTTTGCACTGACACCAGAGCAACTAAGGTGCATCATACATTTGGGCCTTTTGGAACAACTACCTCTCCATGCCCCTCAGTGATCCAACCATTGATTCTTCCTGTTTAATTGCTCTGTCTAACACTTGCTGAATGGTGCTGAGTAATAATGGAGCTAAAAGTCACATTGGCTGCTCCTGATTCGTGGCGTTTCCACAAATTATCATCACCAGGCACCAATCAGAGAATAGTGGGTGCTTTTACCATATATGTTTCACAAATCACTACATAAGTTCTTGATACATTAATGACGTTTTTCTCAAACTGAAAAGAAAAAGTGTTTTGCCTTTCCTTTCCCCCATAATTAGTGGAGGCAGCGCTGGGCCATTTCAGTTCCTTAGATGGTCACACGTCCAGGGCCGCCCCTTTGTGTGGCTCATCTTACTGTCCACGGGCGGCAGACTCCACCTCAATATTCCCCCCTCCATTGTTTGTTACGTGCCCTACAAAAAGGAGAAGAAACCCTTATCACAAACCCTAACCGGACTCTATGTAGGGTCTCCCACAGGATTAAGAGGACTAATGCCCTATAAGAAGCCGTTGGCTTCCTAGTTACTACAAATGAAGAAGCAAAAGGATATTTTTAAAAACGCCACTCACGAGGGCACCAAAAAGAATAAAATGCTTAGCACTAGGATTAGCCGAGTAGGTGAGAGGCTTACAAACTGGAAACTACAAAACATTGCGGAGAAAAATTAAAGCAGATGTAAATAAGTGAAAGGAGACCTGTTCATGGATTGGAGGACTTCATCCTGTGAAGGTGTTGATCAATCCTGCCCAACTGACCTGCACGTTCAAAGCAACCCCATCATGTGCTCACTTCTCCCAGTTTAATACCCAAAGGTACACAGATCACCCCGCTCTAGTTCTTTGGGAGGAAGGTGGAAAAATATCTGTTCTTTTGGACCTAGATATTAGATACCCAACCCCTGGAATTCTACTCCATGGCAAAGACAGGCATCAAAAGGCCTGTGCCGCCCTACAAATGACAGAATATAGAGATCCATAGGCAGACACACTCCCAGTAGGGTGAAGAGAGGTCATGTCCAATTGGAGTAGCTGGTAGCCCTCCACCTCTGCACACACTTGGAGAGAGAAAGAGTTACCATGCTCACCCAGCCACATCTCCAGACCCCACCCATCCCCTTGGAGAAGTAAGTGTCCCAGGTGACTGACTACATTCACTAGGAACAGAAAGCCCCCAGACCCAGAAGACAAACTGGTATACTCCCCCCAGCAACACAGCCTAGCCTCTCACAATCGCTGGGGTCTGGCTGCCGTAAAACACTTCAGCGTTCACATAATATTAACAGCTAGTATTTATTAATAACAAACACTTCATTATTCTCATAACATCAAAAGCTAACACTCATTGAGTGCTAGGGATGGGTACTATGGTAGGCTGCATTCCAAAACTTGGCACATGTTAGCCATTTAAAAAAAAAAAGACCTGTGCCAGGTGGGCTGAGGGGACCCAACAGGAGAATCTAAAACAACCACCACAGTGACAACGTCAAACTGTAAGAGAACCACGGAGAATTAGGATGAGGTCTGAGCCACTTTGATACACACAACCTTACATCTTTTACATGTCTTAAGGTGAAGGTGGACCCCGTAATGACCCCAGACCCCTGGTAGGGGCAAACTCACCTGTCAGGTGATCCTGAAATATCTGAGGACAATCACTGTGCAATTATTCCTTCTAATTCTCCCTTTTTCTCTTAAGTGTTAAATCCTCCTCATCTTCAAATCTGATGCACACAAAATTACATATCTTTCCCACTGTAGCAGAGGAACTTTGTTTAATAGACATCAAAGCATCTAGTGTGGATCTCTGTCTGACAGGATTTGAGGCCTCAGACACAGATAATGAGAAAGGAACACAATTACCACGCACATTGTGTGAAACAGACACTGTAGCAGCAACTCTGAAATGAATATAAAATCACATTTTATATCACACTGTGAGAACAAGAATTTTGTGGCCGTACTTCAAAACTTAACTGGAGAATTTTTCTCTCCCCACACTCCTCTTTCATCCCAAACCCCCTTGCCTGCTCTTACCAGCCCTTCTGCTCCATATCAGACCGTTTAGGGAAATTCAGATAAAAAATGCTCCATGATGTTCACACCAACGTGTTCAGATACAGTATAATTTTAATTTCTGATTATGAGTCACATGTTTTCCTATTTTTATCTGATGTTTTGGAAGAATCTCAAACTTTAATGGTTGTATTATTACTTTTCTTGTAAAAAACTGCAGGTACATTGAAGCCACCCTAGTTTCTTGATGGCTTCTCAGAGAAAAGGGGAGCTGCCCCCCACATCTGGTGCTGGTCTGGGTGTCAGCATGCCCAGCCTGGGTGCACTGGACTGCTGTGACCAGCAATGGTGTCAAAGACTGTGTCGGCGGAGACCCCGGTCCCTCCACAGACCACACGGGACTCTGTGGGTCTGCACTGGGTTTCCTGCTGGAGGAAGCAGTGCTCACTGATCCTCCACAAGGAGCAAGAAGTGATTCCGCTGGGGAGGGAGCGAGGGTCACAGTCACGGCATGAATGTGATGTTTGGGATGAACTAGATCCCTGGGGCCAGGAGGTGGAGAGCACATCCATTTATAACTCAGCCTTCAGGCTCTGCAGAGAAGAATTCAGGTTTGAGAAATGTACGACGTGGGGGAGCTGATTAGGGGAAGGATGTCACCCTCATCACTCAGTGTCTCATCCCTGTGCTGTCCCCGGTCTGTGTGAAGTCCCAGCATCTGCCTCCTTCGACACCTCCCCCAGGGGACATCAGGTGACGCTGGGCACAGAGAGGCAGGAAGCTGATTTGCATGAGGCCCCTCCTCCTCCTAACAGGTCTGGGAGGCGTGAAAAGGCCTGAGGACCCCACACTCCAGCCCAGGAGGCTGAGGAGGCCGTGTCCTTGGAGTGTCCCCACCATGGCCTGGACGGCGCTTCTGCTCGGGCTTCTCACTTATGGCTTAGGTCAGGCGCTGGGACTCTGCATCCTTGGGGGCACCTACAAGCAGGGCCTCAGGGGATATTGTCTCCATAACAAGCCCTGTCTCTCTCCTGTCAGTTTTAGGGGTGGATTCTCAGACTGTGGTCCAGGAGCCGTCAGTGTCAGTGTCTTCAGGAGGGATGATCACTCTCACCTGTGGCCTTAGCTCTGGGTCAGTCACTACTGGTTACTATCCCAGCTGGTACCAGCAGACCCCAGGCCAGGCTCCCAAAACTGTTATCTACAACACAAACAGCCGCCCCTCTGGGGTCCCTGGTCGCTTCTCTGGATCCATCATTGGGAACAAAGGCGCCCTCACCATCACAGGGGCCCAGCCTGAGGACGAGGCTGACTATTACTGTAGTCTCTACGTGAGTAGTGGTAATTACTATTGCACAGTGATATAAACCCATGGGGAAGTGCTACCAAAACTGACCCATGTGCTCAGAGGGCTCAGCCCTTAGAGGCAGGAGAGGCAGAGAGAGGGTGGAAATGGTCAGCACCCTGTAGGGAGTGAGGCTCCGGGGCCCCATCTCCTGTCCAGTGGTTCATGGCCATGTACCTCCTCCAGTCTCTCCCAGGTGTGTCCATCTCTCCAAGGGGACCCCTCTCTGACTATAGATGGGGAGGGGACCCAGCTCCCAATCATATCAACCAAGAATGACACTGAGGGACCCCAGTATGACCAGCACGACTATTCTTGTCCAAAGAGAATTAACAGACATACCCAACTTCATTAATTTGATGATGCAGAATAAATTAATATTTATGATTTTTTTCATATATGCACAACAGCTAGATCCATAGCACATTTGCTGATCTGTTTATATACCACATGCTTATAGTCATTGCATCGTGAAGCTAATGATGGAAAATAAGCATTTAAAAAATTCCATGTTCGATGGTGTCCTAGAGACAGTTCCTGCTCTTTTATAGCCTTTTCCCACACTTTTTAGCTTTTCTGATTTTGAGCATCACTTAATTAAAGCTGACATAGTTTTATATGTAATTTTATATATAGTTTTATATTTTGTAATGTAATATTAAAATTCTTTTACATTTTACTGATGACTACATTGGTAGATTTTTAAATATGTGTATGTTTCATTTTGGAAAGTGTTGCTTTCTGAGAAATTGAACAATTAGTGTCTATCACTAACTGTGCTCACAGTACAGGGCGTGGTCGTGGATGTTCATGGACTGACAGTGACCAGCCATCAGCCCAGGGCCCCAGCATCACTTCCACCCAGAGCTGGACTTTGACCAGGAGCAGCAGGGGGCGCTGTTGGTCTCCCCAGGGTCTGCAAAATGGGCGCCCCCTGCTGTGTGACCCCCCAAACTCCCAGGTCTGGGGCGTTGGGGCCTGTGTGTGTGATGGGGACTCAGCAGGGTGTCCTCTCTGCGCTGGGCAGGGTTCCTGCTCACAGGTCACTGTGGGTTCTGGTCGCTGCTTCCTCCTGCTTCCTCCCAGGGGTCAAACTCTGAGTCTCACCCATCTCACTCCAATTTCCTAAACTCACCCATCTCACCCCAATTCCCTAAACTCACCCATCAAAGGAAGGGAGTCAAAAGAGATCCTGTCGGTACTTTAGAAAAGCAACGACCACAACACATCAGGACTGAAAAAGGGGCTCTGAGGCCATGAGGGACAGTGTGGGACAATCCTGAGATGGCCCCTCCCCACTGGGAAACTGCTCAGGACTCCAGGGGGTCTGGCCATCTGTGTGCTCACTGGGCCACGCTGACCTGCCAGGACCCAGGGGTCACCAGGAGCCAGGCACCTCCCCCGAGGTCCGTCCGGAGGCCAGGAGCACAGACAGCAGGTCTATGTGCAGATGTGACTCTGCCGCATGTGGATCTGGGGGATAGAAAGGGACTTCGGGGAGCACGGTCCCTACACCAGCGCTGAGGGCTTCGTGTCTGAGGCTTCACCATGACCTGGGCGCCCCTCCTGCTCACCTCCTCTCTCCCCACATGGGGGGACGACCTCACCTGTGGGTGGGCCGGGGACCCCCCTCTGCTCCTCAGCCCCCTCTCCTGCACAGGGAGCAGGGTCCTGCTCTCAGACTCCTCTCTGTTCCCTCACAGCGACCGAGTCCCCGGGACAGATGGCCACACTCTCCTGCCCTGGAAACAGCAACAACGTTGGCAGTGAGGGGGGCAGCTTGTGCAGCAACAACCTGGCTGGGTCCCCAAACTCCTGACCCGCAGGAGTCACAACCGGCCCCCAGGGTCTCAGAGAGGTTCTTGGGCTCCAGGTCAGGGGGCGGGGCCTCCCTGAGCATCTCTGGGCTCCAGGCCGAGGCCGAGGCTGATTATTCCTGCTCAGCCTGGGATGGCAGGCTGGGTCCTCACCCGGTGCTTCATGCCAAGGGGGTGGTGAGCCCCGAGCCCTGAGCTCCCGGCTTCACCAGGCACGTGGGGCTCACAGAGCACCAGTTACTGTCCCCGGACAAGACCGGGCTGGGTTCCCACTGACACTGATGGGTGCGATGCTGGTTATTAAAAGTAATAATGTCAGTGAATGGAGCTGAGGCTGTATAAACATATGCACCTTCACATGCACTAAGACTTAGTAAAAACAGGATTTCAGGGTTTAATTAAGGGGATAATCTTTTCCCTGACTTTTCTTTCTGTTCCATTTGAAGGGGCTGGAGTCACAAGCTCAGAGGGTCCACTTCCCTGACCTCGAGTGAGCATTCACCAGCCTCACCAGGAGCCACCCTCTCCCTTCTTCTGACCTTGGCACATGCCCTGACCTCTGGCCCGAGGGCTCTGCCTGTCTCTGCAGGGGGATCACCTGACTCCTCGCTCACA